TTCTTCCTTTGGTAATGCTAGCTTTTAGCAGACCAGAGAAAGTGCTCCACTGGCTTCTGTCTCAACTCCTTAGATATTTATTTTGAGGAGTCTGTGGAAATGAACTGGAAGGATTGGCCCTAGTAACTCGAGGACAAAAATCACTTTTTCCTCACTGGCCACCCTCTACTACCTCTTTTGCCATCACATATACTGATGTAGCAATAACTCCCCACTTCTACTGTGGTCAGGATTGTCCTCAGAAATGTGCACAGGCACATGGAAGACAGATGCTTCCCCAAGCAGTCCTAGTTACTCTGGGAAAGCTACACTGCTCCACCCCAGGTGGCATCAGTGGAAAAAAGGTAAATCAGACAAAGGTCTTGGTGGTACAGAACCAGAAATCAATTCAGGATGCCATCAGGTCTACACCTGGTGCATTTCCACCCTACCTCGGTGGTAGAACCAAGAGGGATGACTACGATGCCTGTGTCAGTAAGGGGCAGACTAAGTCCGACCAAGGAAGGAAAGCTTCAGTGGCAAGACTGTCCACACCCCCATCTAGAGCAGGGAGGGATGCCTCCAGTGGAAAGAAGCCAAGGCTGTGGATGCCACTTTTTTCTCTCTTATAGATGGGAGCTAGCAGTTCCAGAAACACTCCTTTAAAATGTATTTAAAAAAACACTGGGATAAGTTTGATCCCCAGAATTTAAAAAAGACATGCCTGATCTTCTTCTGTGATACTGAATGGCCATGGTATCCTTTGCAAGATGGAACGCTGGCCTGTTGAAGGATCTCAATTATAATACTGTTTTACAATTAGTCAGTTCTGTAGAGAACAAGAGAAATGGGTATAAGTGACATATGTGTTGCTCTTTATCTCTCTGTGAGACATGCCAGACTTGCGTCCTAAGAGTACAGATTTGGGTGTGAAACCTTCAGCATCTCCTGTCCTCTTACTTTGCCTCTGTATCTGGGGCTCCCAACTGAACAGGCTGAGAGTCAGGGCACCCTTCTAGGAAGGGTTGCCTCAGTCTCAGAAGAAATTCAAATGGTACCAATTGCAGTCGAGACTATCTAGAGGATCCAGAAAATTCCACAGAAGCCTTTATAGGACTAACTTCACCTTATGAGCTTACTTGGCGAGATATAATACATGTCTTAGGACAGATGCTGACCCCTGACTAAAAAACTAAAGTTTTAGGGAAGCTACTATTTTTAGAGATAAATGGCTTGAAGGTAAGGGAAAGAGGGAACATGAAATAGCTCTCCTTCCTATTGGAAGCCGAGCAGTTCCCATAACAGAGCCACTTTGTCAGATGCATTCTTGAAGGACTAAAGTGAGCGTTCACTAAGATTTTAAACTATGCTGACCTTAAACTATGCTAAGTTGGCTGACATAGAACAGGGGGAGAAGGAAACTCCTGGTAAATTCCTAGATAGGCTACAAGAGACTCTCTGTAAGTTTACTGATATTGCTCCCAAGAGGGCAGAGGAGGAATGATCTTAAAAGATAGATTTCTCACTCAGTCAGCTCCAGATATTCACCATAAGTTACAAAAACATGCATTTGGACCAAATAAGTCTTTAGAAAAACTGTTACAGCTGGCTCAGATGGTATATTGCAGTAGAGAATATGAGGAGGAGAAACGACAACAGAAAAGAACCAAAGGAAAGGCCCAGGCTCTAGTGATGGCTGTAAAACTTCTATGAATCAGCCTGAAGAGAAAAATGCCCAGAGGAACCGAGGTGAAAAGGGATGGGCTTGTTATTACTGTGGAAAGGAGGGGCATCTCATGTGAAGTTGCCTTCAGGCATCTAAGCTGCCCCAGTTCCATGTTCAGTCTGCAAAGGACCATACTGGAGAAGAGACTGCCCTCCGAGGTGTAGGCCCCAGGGGGTCAAACTCTCAAGACAATCAGGACTGAAGGTGTCTTGGGGTCCCCACAAAAGCTCCCATCCTAATAACACCTGAAGAACCCCAGGTATTAATAACTATGGCAGGCCAATCAGTCTATTTTCTTTTAGACACTGAAGCAAATTTCTCAGTACTCACTGAAGCCCCTGGTCCACTTTCTTCCCAATCCACTACTGTAATGGGACTGTCAGGATGAGCCAAACACTATTATTTCAGCCTTCCTTTAAGCTGCAACTGGGACTCTGCTGTTTTCTCATGAGTTTCTGATCATGCCACAGTCTCCCTCGGCCCTTCTGGGGAGGGATATACTGAACAAAGTCCAGGCCTCTGTTTTCATGAATATGGAACCCGCTTTTTTAACTGAAGAAAATGTAAATCCTAAAGTACGGGCTGATGGAAAAATTGTGAGTTGAGCACAAAATGTTGTTCCTTTCCTTATCAAGCTCAAAGACCCTCACTTATTTCCACATCAAAAGCAGTATCCATTAAAGCCTGAGTTTCAGGAAGAGTTAAAACCCATCATTGAAAATTTAAAGGAACAGGGGCTATTCATTACTTGGAATAGTCCATGCAACATTCCTGTTTTGGGTGTGACAAAGTCAAATGATAAATGGAGTCTAGTTCAAGATTTATGAATAATAAGTGCCTAATCCTTATACTTTATTGTCTGAAATCCCTGAATGAGCCAAATATTTTTCAGTCATTGATTTGAAGGATGCTTTCTAGAGTTAAACCTATACTATACCATCCTCTGCCTATGACTTTAAGACAACTGAGAGGATTCTTGGGCACTACAGGCTATTGTCACATTTGGAGACCGGGTTATGGGGAAGTTACCCAGCCTTTAATGAGGGCTTGAAGGGAAAGGAAAGGGAAGTCACTCAGCCCTGTCTGACTCTTTGTGACCCCATGGACTGTAGCCCACCAGGCTCCTCCATCCATGGAATTTTCCAGGCAAGAGTACTGGAGTGGGTTGCCATTGCCTTCTCCAGGGGATCTTCCTGATACAGGGATCGAACCCAGGTCTCCTGCATTGCAGGCAGACGCTTTACCATTTGAGCCACCAGGGAAGCCAATGAGGGTTTGAACTATCCCCCAATGACAGACTGTTTTTCACGCAGATATTGTCATAGATCCTAAAGCCTTAGAATTAAGTATGTGACTCAGCTTTCAGCTTTTCAAAAGACATTACAAGAACTCCTGGAGGTGACCCCTGACCCAGCCTCCACAATCGTTCTAACTGCTGTGTCTGTGGAGCACTCCCCTCCTCATCAACTGAAGGCTTAACATGGTTAGTTTCTCTCATTCAAGGAAAGGATTTTCTTCAAGTCTGCATATACCTTCACCAACAACAATCATATGTGATGCCTCTTCTTTATCTGATTACATCTAACAAGCCTAAGATGGACTGACAACATATTGTGCCTTAACTATGGACACAATGTAACTTTTAATATTGAGTATGTTTTAACTTGATTTAATGACTATTTTGCCTAACATCTGTAAATGTATAATGGGATCTGTTTCTAACCGTCTGAAAACTTTTAAGTTACAAATAGTTGTCCAGGCTCCTACAAGTGCCACAGCCTCCTCCAACTATTACTTGGGGCCCCTGGATCAGAGACACTCAATATGAGGGTTAGGAGAATATGTTGCCTCCACAATTTAGGGATGACACCCCTCAAAAGCAGGAAGTAGTTGTGGAATGAAAATGACGCCCCTTTCCCTTGGCAACACAATTCTCCTAAAAGAAAAGGGGGGAATGAGAGAATCAATTTTTAGGTAGGTTGATAAGAAGTCTTTCATCCCTGAAGAGGAACAAGGGGTCTGGGGCTCTCAAAGAGGAGATAGGGGTCTGGAATTCTCAAGGAGGAGAAAAGGACAAATTTTTTTCTACATTCCTTAGTCTTAGTAAGGATTATATAACAACAATGTATCCTGCTTGAGGACATGTTTCTCCTTCTTGACAACCTTCTGACTAATCTTATTATCTTAAAATGTATATTATGGGAGTGGGTCTGGTAAAATCTTTCTATTGTTAATTCTAATCCTGTCATTTTAAAATGTAAATTGTGGGAATGGGTCTAGTAAGATCTTTACAACCTTGAGACATTCTTTTGATTTATTGCAATAACAAATTAAAAAGTATATAGCTTTCTTGCTAAGACTAGTTAGGGACGCACTCTCCATCCCCCTTCTGATGTCTATGTCAGAAGCTTTCTCTGTCCCTTTTTATACTTCAATAAAACTCTGCTACACAAAAATTCTTGAGTGATCAAGCCTGGTCCCTGGTTCCAAAGCTAAATCTTCTTTGGAGATCACGAATCTGACATCATTCAGCATAAGCTACCGACTTCATGGCAAATAGATGGTAAAAAAGTGGAGACAGTGGCAGATTTTATATTCTTGGACTTCAACATCATTGCAGACTGTGACTACAGCCATGAAATTAAAAGACACTTGCTTCTTGGAAGAAAAGCTATGACAAACCTAGATGGCATGTTAAAAAGCAGAGACATCACTTTGTTGATAAAAGTCCACACAGTCAATGCTATGGTTTTTCCAGTAGTCATGTACAGATGTAACAGCTGGACCATAAGGAAGGCTGAATACCAAAGAAGGATGCTTTCAAACTGTGCTTCTGGAGAACACTCTTGAGAGTCCCTTGGGCAGCAAGGAGATCAAACCAGTCAATCCTAAAGGAAATCAACCCTAAATATTCATTGGAAGGATTGATGCTGAAGCTCCAATACTTTGGCCACGTGATGCAAAGAGCTGACTTATTGGAAAAGACCCTGATGCTGGGAAAGATTGAGGGCAGGAGGAAAAGGGAGCAACAAAGGGTAAGATAGTTGGATGGCATCATTGACTCAATGGACCTGAGTTTTAGCAAACTCTGGAAGATAGTGAAGGACAGGTTAGCTTGGCGTGTTGCAGTCCATGGGGTCACAAAGAGTCAGAAATGACTTAGGGACTGAACAACAACAAGCCCATATGCACAAATCCAACTTTCCCATTAACACTGCAAAGCTCACTACATGAGGAGGAGCACTGCAGCATGAGTAAAACAGAAGTATTAGAGAGGTTTTTGATACATAGATACCTTTGGTCTTGTGTCTACAACATACAAGAACTGGCTCCCTGGATTTGTCTGGCGAATAGCCTCTAGCAGGAGCTCATCATCTATGCAACGAGTATAAAATCCAGACAGAGGCTGGCTACAGCGGCAAATGGCAGCCTGTAAAGAAAAATGTGTCAGTTGAGTGATCATATTTACAGGTGGTCAAAAATCCTCCTTGTTCCCATGTTCAATGAGTAGAAGAGGATGAGCCAACTCAGGATAGTGAAATAAAAAAAAATGCAGCCCTGAAATTCAGCATTTCAATAATATTGATTGAGCTCAGCTTCCTGCCTCCCTCCCCACTCCAGAATGTGGGCTGTATTACTATAAACTGTCGCTCAGTCTTTTCTTTCTTCTACATGGCTAAGATTCCCAACCCAGTCTTGGCAAACCCAGACTACAATAAAATCACATCTTGAGTGTTTTAATAAAACTTTACTCATTTTTAAAATGTATTAACATAGTATTTTTCTTAAATTGTCTTGCTTTTTATAGTCCCAGTGATATCACCCACATACCGGAGGCTCACTTAAGAATTCAAGATAGAACAAAGATCTAGAGTTTCTTAAGAGAACAGAATTCACTCATTTCAGGAGTCAAATGGCAAATCATAGTACTGGTTTGTTTAAAGCCATTTCAATATGAAAACAACTATGTACACAACTATGTAGCAGGTACATCTGATAATGATCAGTTAATGAACTGCATTCATTTTGGTGGTGGTGTTATATAGTCTGCTTACTTCGACAGTCTGACACAGACAACCACTTATATTACTGTACTCTTTAGCACTTGAATACCTGAGAACTTGACTATTTGTCTAATTCCAGATCTCAGAGAAACCACAAGAGGAAAGAACTATTATCCCTTCTTATGGAAGGGGACTCAGAGGAATCAAGTGCTTTCCCATAAGACCCTAAATTATATGAAAAATAGTGAGAAAGAATAAGGAAATCTGTGTTATAGTGAGAGACAACAATCTACAAATATCCTTTCATATGACTGTTCCCTTTCATTTAACAGTTACTTGCCATCACGCAGGAGCTGGCAGAGCAGGAAAGAAATAAATGAACACACTACAAATGCCACTTAACATCTGCATAGCACTTTAAAATTTACAAAGTACACATATTTTTCCTGATGTGACCCACTTAAAGCCACTCTAAAGTACTAAAGTTCAGAGACGTAACATGCTTGAGGTCACAAAGCTAGTAAGTGACAGTACTGTGACTTAAACGCAGGTCTTCTAGAGCCAAGTTTAGTTCTCATCAGAGAAGTTTTGTCAACTCACATTGTTCTCTTTGTAGAGGTAGGAGAGCACAGGCACACGTTCTTTACTTCTGAACTTCGAACTTCCAACCACCGTTCCCAATGTAACAGATTTAGGAACCACTATTTCAGGAGGGTAGGTATTGCATATCTAAAAGAAAACAAACTCAATTTTTTAAACTTAATCTTCTTACATTTTTTTTTTACCTGCTAGCAGCAACAGGTTGGAATGGCAATCACTCAAGCATTAGTTGCCCATTATTTATCAGTGAGAATCATCGATTCCTCAAAAATAAGAACAAAAATATCCCTGATGTAAAAAGCTCTTCGAAGTATGCTATTATTTTCTAGAAATGAAAATATTGAGATATATAAGAACAAAATGTACTTTAAGAGTAACTAACATTATAGATAGAAACATTTTGCATATGTCACATTGCTAGAGGAGTTGAAACATGTCCTATGTGACTCCACTGGGAAAGGGCAAAAGCTTCAACTTTTGTCTGGTTTTCCCCAGACTTTACTCCTTTTCCCTTTGTTGATTTTGCTTTCTATATTTTCACTGTAATAAATCACAGTCACAAGTGACTATATGCCAGGTCCTCCTAGTGAATTAATACACATGAGAGCTTCTAAATTTGGCCCAGAAATCTTTCTGGAGATCTAGACTCAGATGCTTGATATCAAATACCTGATTTTCTTAATCACCTTAAACTCATGTCTAAAACTAAAAACGTTGTCTGACCCTCTTCTTGTGATCTTTATTTTGCTAACATATCCATACCCACTTGGGTCACCTAAGCCAGAAACCAGGAAACCTGGGATGCCTACTAAACTTCTCCCTCTTTCTCCCAGCCACATTGATGTGTCACCAGGTTCTTTAACTTCTACTACCTAAATATCTGTTAAAACTATCTCCTCCTCTCCATCCATAGTTATTGCCTTAGTTCAGGTTCTCATCACTTCTCATATCACTCTCCTGCATTCTTAACTCCAGCAAACCAATTCTTCATACCAATATCAAAGTTATCTTTCTAAAATACAAATATATACCATAGATGAATGAAACTGGAGCTCATTATACAGAGTGAAGTAAGCCAGAAAGATAAAGACCAATGCAGTATACTAATGCATATATATGGAATTAAAAAATATGGTAACGATAATCTTATATGCAAAACAGAAAAAGAGACACAGATGTATACAACAGACTTTGGGACTCTGTGGGAGAAGGCGAGGGTGGGATGTTCTGAGAGAACAGCATTGAAACAAGTATACTATCAAGGGTGAAACAGATCACTAGCCCAGGTTGGATGCATGAGACAAGTGCTCAGGGCTGGTGCACTGGGAAGACCCAGAGGGATGGGATGGGGAGGGAGGTGGGAGGGGGGTTCAGGATGGGGAACACATGTAGATCCACAGCTGATTCATGTCAATGTATGTCAAAAACCACTAAAATACTGTAAAGTAATTAGCCTCAAACTAATAAAAATAAATGAAAAAATAAAATAAAATACAAATATACTTACAGACATTTCCAAGTTAAAAGACTGTTGTGGTTGTGGTCCTCAGGATAACATTCAAATTCTTCAATTTATCCGTGATCTGAGTTCACTTACTGACCTCTTTCCTTCTCTCCCTGTATAAGTTAGGATAGAATCCCTTCTCTAGGCTATTCCCCAAAGCTGAAGGCTCTTACTGGCATTCCAGTTTGACTTCCATATTCTTCATCTATGCTCCCATAGCACCCTATGCTTTAGACTATGAGAACTCTGACTTGGTGTTTTAAATGCACTAGTTATTTAATAAAAATCTTGTTGAATGGCTGAATGTTGAATGAAAAGGAGAGATAATGGGTGGTTTTTTCCCTTTTCAAAACTTTGCTTGCTGAAATACTTCTGTTTCAATTAAGTGAACCAAAAGAAAACAGTAACAAAATTACCTCATAGTTTCTGTTGGCATCTGTTATGGTCCAGTACCTGTTAGGAATTCCCATACGTCCAAAGTCTGATGTTTGGTCAATCAGCTTCCATCCATTTTCCCTCATGTCTTTTGAGAACTTGGGATTATATGAAAAAGCATACAGATCTTCAGGTAATTCTATAGAAGAAATATAGGCATTGGAATAAAGTAATAATGAATGAAACATAACACCAAATAATGCAATAAAGGCTACATTTTATTCTCCCTAAGGGAGTATTTGTCATCAGCCCCGGAAAAGGACAATAATTTGTGTACAAGGTTGCCTTTATTTGTATACAAGGAATAAGAACTGAAATAATGCTTCAGAGTCTTCTTTTAAAAATATTTATATGATCCCAATACAAAGCAGGAAAATTCTGCCTGGTTTCCTGTAAAATGCTGGATGATGGACTGAACTGACATGCTGAGAAAGTGGTCCTTACCAAAATTTTTAACTGATCTTCAATGTCCTAGCTGCAGTACTTGTTGTGACATATTGCAAAACATTAGCAGTGTTCTTGCATTTTGTTAGTGAGGTCAGTACCTGCTTCTGGCTGATAAACGGCCATCTCTTCTTCTTGTCAACCCCACTTCCTCCTTTCACAAGATTCAACATATAGTCAATAACTCATTTGATCATTTTATGTGGCAATAAATTGATTATGTGACAATAAAACACAAACCCAAGTAAGACGGTAGGTGCTGAGAGAGGGCATCAGAGGGCAGACAGACTGAAACCACAATCACAGACAACTAGCCAAACTGAGCACATGAACCATAGCCTTGTGTAACTCAGTGAAACTAAGCCATGCTATGTGGGGCCACCCAAGACGGACGGGTCATGGTGGAGAGGTCTGACAGACTGTGGTCCACTGGAGAAGGGAATGGCAAACCACATCAGTATTCTTGCCTTGAGAACCCCATGAACAGTATGAAAAGGCAAAACGACAGGACACTGAAAGATGAACTCCTCAGGTCAGTAGGTGCCCAATATGTTACTAGAGATCAGTAGAGAAATAACTCCAGAAAGAATGAAGGGATGGAGCCTGAACAAAAACAACACCCAGCTGTGGACGTGACTGGTGATAGAAGCAAGGTCTGATGCTGTAAAGAGCAATATTGCATAGGAACCTGGAATGTTAGGTCCATGAATCAAGGCAAATTGGAAGCATTCAAACAGGAGATGGCAAGAGTGAAGGTTGACATTCTAGGAATCAGTGAACTAAATGACAGAATGATCTCTGTTTCCAAGGCAAGCCATTCAATATCACGCTAATGCAAGTCTATTCCCTGACCAGTAACACTGAAGAAGCTGAAGTTGAATGGTTCTATGAAGACCTTCAAGACCTTTTAGAACTAACACCCAAAAAAATATGTCCTTTTCATTACAGGAGACTGGAATGCGAAACTAGGAAGTCAAGAAACACCTGGAGTAACAGGCAAATTTGGCCTTGGAGTACAGAATGAAGCAGGGCAGATTAATAGAGTTTTGCCAAAAGACCACACTGGTCATAGCAAACAACCTCTTCCAACAACACAAGAGAAGACTCTACACATGGACATCACCAGATGGCCAACATCGAAATCAGATTGAATACATTTTTTGCAGCCAAAGATGAAGAAGCTCTATACAGTCAGCGAAAACAAGATTGGGAGCTGACTATGGCTCAGATCATGAACACCTTATTGCCAAATTCAGACTGAAATTGAAGAAAGCAGAGAAAACCACTAGATCATTCAGGTATGACCTAAATCAAATCCCTGACAACTATACAGTGGATGTGAGAAATAGATGTAAGGGAATAGATCTGATAGACAGAGTGCCTGATGAACTATGGATGGAGGTTCATGACACTATACAGGAGACAAGGATCAAGACAATCCCCAAGAAAAAGAAGTGCAAAAAGGCAAAATGGCTGTCTGAGGAGGCCTTACAAATAGGTGTGAAAAGAAGGGAAGTGAAAAGCAAAGGAGAAAAGGAAAGATATACCCATCTGAATGCAGAGTTAAAAGAACAGCAAGGAAAGATAAAAAGCCTTCCTCAGTGATCAGTGCAAAGAAATAGAGATAAACAATAGAATGGGAAAGACTAGAGATCTCTTCAAGAAAATTAGAGATACCAAGGGAACATTTCATGCAAAGATGGCCTCAATAAAGGACAGAAATGGTATGGACCTAACAAAAGCAGAAGATATAAAAAAGAGGGGGCAAGAATACACAGGAGAACTGTACAAAAAAGATCTTCATGACCCAGATAATCATGATGGTGTGATCATTCACCCAGAGCCAGACATCCTGGAATGGGAAGTCAAGTGGGCCTTAGGAAGCATCACTACAAACAAAGCTAGTGGAGGTGATGGAATTCCAGCTGAGCTATTTCAAATCCTGAAAGATGATGCTGTGAAGGTGCTGCACTCAATATGCCAGCAAATTTGGAAAACTCAGCAGTGGTCACAGGTCTGGAAAACATCCGTTTTCATTCCAATCCCAAAGAAAGTCAGTCCCAAAGAATGCTCAAACTACTGCACAATTGCACTCATCTCACACGCTAGTAAAGTAATGCTCAAAATTCTCCAAGCTAGGCTTAAGCAATATGTGAACTGTGAACTTCCAGATGTTCAAGCTGGTTTTAGAAAAGGCAGAGGAACCAGAGATCAAATTGCCAACATCCGCTGGATCATCGAAAAAACAAGAGAGTTCCAGAAAAACATCTATTTCTGCTTTATTGACTATGCCAAAGCCTTTGACTGTGTGGATTGCAATAAACTGTGGAAAATTCTGAAAGAGATGGGCATACCAGACCACCTGACCTGCCTCTTGAGAAATCTGTATGCAGGTCAGGAAGCAACAGTTAGAACTGGACATGGAACAACAGACTGGTTCCAAATAGGAAAAGGAGTATGTCAAGGCTGTATATTGTAACCCTGCTTATTTAACTTATATGCAGAGTACATCACGAGAAACGCTGGGCTGGATGAAGCACAAGGTGGAATCAAAATTGCCAGGAGAAATATCAAAAACCTCAGGTATGCAGATGACACCACCCTTATGGCAGAAAGCAAAGAAGAACTAAAGACCCTCTTGATAAAGTGAAAGGGGAGAGTGAAAAAGTTGGCTCAACATTCAGAAAACTAAGATCATAGCATCCGGTCCCATCACTTCATGGCAAACAGATGGGGAAACAGTGGAAACAGTGGCTGACTTTATTTTTGGGGCCTCCAAAATCACTGCAGATGGTGATTGTAGCCATGAAATTAAAAGACCCTTACTCCTTGGAAGGAAAGTTATGACTAACCTAGACAGCATATCAAAAAGCAGAGACATTACTTTGCCAACAAAGGTTCGTCTACTCAAGGCTATGATTTTTCCTGTAGTCATGTATGGATGTGAGTTGGACTATAAAGAAAGCTGAGTGCCGAAGAATTGCTGCTTTTGAACTGTGGTGTTGGAGAAGACTCCTGAGAGTCCGTTGGACAGCAAGGGGATCCAAACAGTCCATCCTACAGGAGATCAGTCCTGGGTGTTCATTGAAAGGACTGATGAAGCTGAAACTCCAATACTTTGGCCACCTGATGTGACGAGCTGACTCATTTGAAAAGACCCTGATGCTGCAAAAGATTGAGGGCAGGAGGAGAAGGGTACGACACAGGATGAGATGGTTGGATGCATTACCAACTCAACAGACGTGGGTGTGGGTGAACTCCGGCTGTTGGTGATGGACAGGGAGGCCTGGCGTTCTGCGGTTCATGGGGTCCCAAAGAGTCGGACACGACTAAGTGACTGAAGTGAACTGTGGCAATAACTTTTCCAGAGATGTATGAAGTCTTCTAGAACCTTTTACAAATACTGGGCCAGTTAACAGATAGCCTCTGTCAATAGAATACCAGCAAATTCTAAGAAATTATTCTAGGCCACAGGTAGAAGAAAATGTGAGGGGAATATAATTCTAATCCAGAAGCTAGGACTTTAGTCCACAAACTAAAACCAGAGGAAGCTTATGGGTTAGCCACCTGGAGTTGGGTTGGAAGATGAGAAGGTCAGGTCAGAGGAAGTAGGGATAACTGCATTAAGGACTCTGATAAATTTTGCAGTTTGCTAGTTGGAACCAAAGGTAGGGGTAGGAACAATAGGCAAAACATAAAGCTTGCAAGACAACAACAAAAAAAATTTGCTCCAAAGCAGTCTTTCTTCCTGAACTGTGGAAAAATTTACAAGTTGATAGTTAAGATGAAAGAAAGAGAAGGAAGTAACACCTGTCAAACATCTACAATATACCAAGTACAGAGTGAAAATGCATGAAACAACCAGCATGGGGAGCTTATACCATCACTCTTTTTACAACTGAGGAAGCTGACTTCAAAGGTTATGCATCTTGCCCAAATACCATGGAGCTGTAAGAGACAGAGCCCAGATTCAAACTTATTTAGGTCTATTGAACTCCATAGCCCATGATCTTTCCATTATGCTGTTCTGGTGGAGGGGTGGATAATTAAAAAATTATCTAAAACAGATAAAAATACTTTCATAACTACCTGGTTGAGAAAGCTTTAGCAGTGAAATATAAACCTCATGGCACACAACATCAGATTCTAAAACAAAGTGGGCCACCCGGAAATTCTTGCAGTGGAGGATCAGGGGACAACCCAGGCTAGTGACAGGCAATTTCTCCACAGTGGCAATATGATGCAGTGCAATCTACAAAACAGAAAAGAACATCAACAACAACAAAGATCACAGACAGGCACTAGATCTATCACTATCAGTGTGCTTGACTCTCAGTAATGGTAACAGCATAACCAGAGATGCAGTCATATCTACAGCCTATAACCATCCATTGTAAGGCAAAACTGGGTTTCTCCCAAACAGAAGTAAATAGTGGTAAAAAAAAAAAAAATCTGCCTGCAATGAAGGAGACCTGGGTTCATTCCCTGCGTTTGGAAGATCCCCTGGAGAAGGGAATGGCTATCCACTCCAGTATTCTTGCCTGGAGAATTCTATGGAGAGGAGCCTGGTGGGCTACAGTCCATGTTTTGCAAAGAGTCGGACACAACCAAGCGACTAACACTATCACTTTCACACTTTCAATGAAAAGCAAATTATGGTATTATGAAACTTCTCTCCTTAGGGATGTAAGTAAGGTTAAGAGATTTATGGGGCAATTGTGGTGAATCTGGTTCAGAACAGATGGCTTCAGAACTATTGTTGTTGTTTAGTCTCTGGGTTGTCATGTCCGACTGTGTCTGTGCAGAGAGTCGTGCCCATGCAGAGAGTCGAGTCCGACTCTTTGCAATTCCATGGACTATAGTCCACTAGACTGGTGGAATTTAAAAATCATAGTAGAATGATTTTCACAGAGGAAAATCGAACTTCCTTTTTTTCTATCAAATTACTAGTTAAAATGATTAATAATTGGTATTTTGTTTTATTGCTCATGAAGTGGTCCATGATCATTAACTATTTAACCCCTGTAACAATGCTTTAAGGTATAATAATCCCATTTCAGGAACGCAGAAACCAAAGCTTTGAAAAGTGAATTATTCATCAAAGGACATTCAGCCAAAAAGTAGCACAGATAGAATTTGAACCATGGCAGTCTGACTTTGTTTAGGGTTATTTCTCTAGAAATTCTAAAAACTCTAGTCCTGGAATTAAAATGTAACTAGAAACATTACAAGGAAAATTTCTCTTCCACATCTTAAACTCTAGTGACAGTAAAGAAGAAATGAAGGAAATTTTTACCTAAGTGAGTCAGGGAATAAGTAGAAACTATAAGACTAAGGACTAAAATAACTATACATAAGCACTGTACTGTAGTTAAGAAAGCTATTTCCCATGGGAGTACAGGTTCATAACTCTGATTTTTTAAAAAAATATGAAGGATTATTAAATCTTTAGTTTCATTATCCCTGCTCATGATAATGCAGCAAAAAAGAAATGTATGGAAAAGGAACTGGTACAAGAAACTGTATACAAATAATGCAAGTCTCTCTTTATAATTTCAAAATGCCATGGAATCATGGCGTTACATTTTTAGTCTTTGATGTTCTCCGCCTATCTGTGTCTCTGATGTTTCCTGCCACTAAAGCCTAAGTGTACTCTTTTCATTTTCTGGACTTCCTGACCTGTACCTGGAATGGCCTTCCTATCATCATTGTATTTTCTTTTCCTCCATCTCACACAGTCTATGCCCCAGCTCCCATTTATTTTGAAAATAAATCTCTTTCAGGAAATCTTTTAATCACATCCATCATCTAAGAATGGGGTAGATACAGGACTATTCACATATTCCAAGAAGGAATTTTCCATCGTAATGTCTGTCTTAACTATTTTGTCAAACTTAATTCCTGTTATGGCAGTTTTGAAGGGCCAAAAAGCTACTGATAATGTAACAGGAATTAATATATCAAATTTCAAGAAAATCAAAGCCCTCCTGATCAATATGGTAGATCTATGTTTGAGCAGTGAAACACTGGTCGTTGAGAACAGGTGCCAGGCAAAAAACTGGTGACTTAGAAAGAGGCAGAAAGTAAAACAGACTAAGGCTAGATAGAGCTTCATTAACAGTACTAACTGGATAAATATGCCTCCTTTGACATATAGAAAGTTAACATAAGTTCTCCCTTCCTGATCTAGTCCATTAGATTTGAAATAATACCCAGTAGAAACAAATTTGGAGATGTATGCTGTCTGTAAATGCAGGTAGAAAGGGGAAAGGCTCATGACATAGTACTAAAGAACTAGTTCCCAAACTATTAGAAATTAAAGAGTCCTTACTAATTATATAATCTAACCACCTCATTTTACAGATGAGGAAACTGAAGCCCAGAAAGCAAGAGTCACTTGCCCAAGTTCATATAGCCAGTTAGTGTACAACTGAGTCTAGCTTAAACCAACTTTCCTGATTCTTCTTTTCTCAATCCTTTCATCATACCAACATGAACAAGATATAATGTCATACGGGGAAAGTTATTGTATTTTTAAAAAGGAAGTATTAAAATACTTTTTTAAAATGTATAGTCTGTTTAATTCATATTATACTTATATAATATTCTCTATCATGTGCCAGACATGATTTTAGGTACAACATTAACTTTTTTATTCCTATAACCAGGCATCATCATTTCCTTTATTTTACAGATGAGGGAAGTGAGCCTCAGAGAAGTTAAGTAACTTGCCCAAGGTTACAAAGGTAGTAAATGTTGAAGCTGGGATTTCACCCTGAACACACTAGCTCTATTCTTAATTGCTGTGCTATGCCATATATCAGAAGCATGTTTTACTTGTTACAGAGGTCTAAGCATAACTCTAGCTAATGATTAAGATTAAATGATGATACTTTAGGATAAGTAAGGCATAAAGTGATGTAAAGTTAGCAGTGCTAAACTAATTACAGCATATTATTTAAAGATGTAACAATGTACACACACACACACCACTCTGTCTTAGGTCAGACAGCTGGTCTATATTATTGATACCCAAAATACAGTCCATGGGCCACCAGCATCACCTGAGAGCATTCTAGAAATTTGAAATCTTAGGCCTGAGATTCTGCATTTTTTTCCATTTATTTTTATTAGTTGGAGGCTAATTACTTTACATCATTGCAGTGGTTTTTGTCATACATTGAAATGAATTAGCCATGGATTTACATTCTGCATTTTTAACAAGCTCCCAGGTTATACAGATGTTCTTAGTTGTTAAACCACATTTTATGTGTAGCAAGGTTTTAAATTACTTCAGGATGCTTACCAAGTAGGCATCTTGGAAAAATAAGTAGAGACCGCTTTACCTAAAAATATTGAGGAAAAAGTCTCATATAGTTTAAAATGACTATAGTCAACAACTTGAGGGAAGAGAAATCATATGATTCAATTTATTAAAAGACCCACTCAGAATAGAGTCTTTGAAGAAAAGGTTTTACAGCAGTTTAACTGTTAACTGAAATTTCAAAAAACTACCATGTGAGAAAGCATGTATACAAAATTCTTCAAGACTCTTTGATATTTCTTCTTATGAACATACATACCCATGTCTCTTTTCGGGCTGCACCAGAAGCTTCCACATAGATCAGGTGGGTTGCAGTAAGATACAGACTTCCATTAGCTGGTTTCTTATCTCTATAACGACCCAGTAATTTCACGTTTTCTACCTGTTATAAGGGTGGGGTGGAGAAAAATGCTGATTAAGTTACCAACTCACCATCTGTGATTAAAGTGGGGTAATTCAAAGTAAGACAAATGGTCTTAATTTACTACAAAACTTTGAGTTTTTCTAGTTTCTGTCAAGGTAGCAAACTAGTATGATCTGTGTTTATTTTTCCTAAATCAACCATGAAGAAACTATAAAAGTGAGAGGGAAACATGGATTATAAGAGGGATTAAAATTCTAGATGATGTTACTATGATGGGGTAGATGTGTGTAGAAGATAAATAGGACATGGACAAGGTACTAATCTTATTGGAGGGAAGTGGGAGTTATTGTGTATGGAAAAATCAATAGGGGTAAATAACATGAGATTAGATCTTAAGTTTAAGATCTTACATTAAAATGCAAGAAAATAGAATATATAACTTTCTAAAAAGCAGGAGAAAAGTTGATTTATCCCAATGGAAAGTAGAAAGAAAAAAAACCCAAAAGGGCACCATAAATGGAAATTATAAAATTAAATGCCAGAAATAAGTCCTAATACAACAAATATACACAAATTAAACTTACTAATTGAAAGACAGACTTGTAGACTGAATTAAAACAAATACTCAAAAATACTCAGTCTAAAAGATATATACCTAAAATAAAGAGATGTAAACAAGTTGAAAATAAAAAGATGGGAAAGATATACTAGACAAATATGAACAAAGCTTGAGTAGCATTCTTAAAATCTGACAAAATAGAATTAAGAGACAAAGAACAACAGGACAAAATATATCTTGCATCATGTACTTGCTTATAGCAGAATTGCAGAGACAAAGGAAACACTTGGCTATTTTAACACTTTAGTTAGGAATTGATAGATTAAACATACAAAAACAAAAAACAAAGATGAATAGAGATACAGAATACTTTTATAGTACAACTACAAATTTCAAGTTATTAGATATACAGAGAACCCTATATCCAACAAATAAAGAACATAAAATCATTCAAGACAAATAATAGAACACTTATAAAAAGACATCATGACAATGTCTGTAAAGGAAGACTCAATAAATTTCAAAGTTTTGATATCACACAGTCTGCATTCTTAAACCATGATACAATGACATTAGAAATTAATAACAGAATAATAGACAAAGTTAGCATATATTAGGAAACAAAATACCATATTATTAAATTAGCCTTGGGTTAAAAGCAAGCCATAAATGAATTAATAAATATGTAAAATTGAAAAATAATAAAAACACAACAAATGAAAAATTGTGGGACACAGTTGAAGCAGAACTAAGAAGGAAATGTACAGCTTTAAGTACACTTATTATGAAACAAGGAATATTAATAAACTAGTTAATCATCCAATTCAATGAAGAAAGCAAAAGAACAGAAAAAAGACAAATCACAGAAATTAAAAAGCAGATAATCACCCCCCACATACACACACACACACCAAAAAATAAACAACAGAAAAGATGAACAAAATTAGAATTTAATTCTTTAAAAAGGTTAATAGATCTTTGAGAAGACTGATCAGGGGAAAAAAATGGGAAGAGGCAAGTACACAAAATACAGAATGTAAAAGGAAAAACAATGTAACAAATTTATTTAAATGAGAGTATTATGAACAATATGCTAATACACTGAAAAACCTACATGAAATGAAAAAGTTCCAAGAAAAATCCCTCAGGTCCAAAGGGATTTGCTAGTTAAATCTATCAAACTTCCATGAAACAAACTATCTTATCCAATTGATTCCAGTGTTAGAAAAAGAATGACAGTTAGTCTATTTTATTTATGAGGCTAGCATAATTTTGATTCTAAAACTAAACAGACAACTATAAGAGATGAAAATTTATACCATTTCACTTATGAAATATAGAAAAAAATTCAAATAAAATTATTTAGTGAATCAACAATGTATTTTCAAAAATATATTCATTTGATCAGGTAAATTTAACTCAAGAAAACAAAGAGAGTTCAACACTGAAAAATTTCAAAGGAATACATCACATGAATAAATTAAAAGAGAAAAATCAAATGATTTATCTCAACTGATAGAGAAAAATCCTTTTGAGTTCACTTTTTATGATGCTAACCCTTAGTGAATTGGGAACAAAAGTAAACATCCACAACTTGGTAAAGATTATATATTAAAAGCCTACAAAGAATGTCATGTGTAATGGAGAAACTAAATGCATTACTTAAAAATCACAAACAAGATAAAGTGGACCTATCTATCACTGATACTCTTTTAAATATCCTGCTGCGGCTGCTGCTAAGTCACTTCAGTTGTGTCCGACTCTGTGCGATCCCATAGACGGCAGCCCACAAGGCTCCGCGGTCCCTGGGATTCTCCAGGCAAGAACACTTAGTGGGTTAACATTTCCTTCTCCAATGCATGAAAGTGAAAAGGGAAAGTGAAGTCACTCAGTCGTGTCCAGTTCTTTGCGACCCCATGGACTATAGCCTACCAGGCTCCTCTGTCCATGGGATTTTCCAGGCAAGAGTACTGGAGTGGGTTGCCATTGCCTTCTCCGTTAAATATCCTAGTCAATACAATAAGTAAAAAAGAGGGGGGAAAGTAAGAAATACAAGGACTGAAAGTCAAATGCTGTATCTGGCACCATTTACTGAAAGACAACCTTCCCAATAAAATGATAATTGGAGATCTTCTACAAAGAAAAAACCAAAAGAATCAGCAAACTATTAGAACTTATATCAGAGGAATTCAGCAAGGTTTCTAGATAAAATGTCAATCTACAAAACTCAAATGATTCTCTATACAAGCAATGACCATAAATAAAACACCATTCACAGTGGCAACAACACAATGTAGAATCAAGGAATTAGCCCAATCAAGCATATATGATACTTTTACAGAGAAAACTTTAAAACTCTAATATAGGAAATTGAAGACAACTTAAAGAAATGAAGAGGCATCCATTCTCTTGGATGGAGCAACTTAATTTTATAAAGATGGAAATTATTGTCCAAATTAATCTATAAATTCAATGCAATTTCAGTTAAATTTCAAAATGGATTTTCCATACATTTATTCTAAATTTAAATAGAAGACTATAACCCCATAAATAGCTAAATAAATCTTAGAAGAGTGAAGAAAGGAAGATCTGCTCTACTAGATATTAAGATATACCCAAAGCCATAGGGTAAAAAAAAAGAAAGCTTGAAGTACTAGTAAAAAACTATACAAATAGATCATTGATAAAGGCTCACAGTTGAAAGGCAAACTTGTGTATGAATGGGCACTTCATATAGGATAAATGTGGCACTACTAATTATGAACAAAAGATATAAGTACTTAGCAAATGTGTGGGGAAAACTGTATCAATACATGAAGAAAAACAAAACTAGATCCCTATGTATTACCATATGCAAAAGTGTAATCTAGATATATCTATATGTAAGAAGAAAAACTATAAAGTTACTAGAAAATGCAAAATATGTCAGATCGAGAGACAGGAAAAGACTTGAAAAATCAAACAATAACAGAATGGGAGAAAATATATAAAATGTCTAAAACTAACAATAGATCATTATCTAGACTATATAAAGGGCTCCCGTAATTCAATGAAAAAAGGACAGAAGCTCTAATAGAAAAGCAGGCAAAAATATAAGAACAGGCAAGTTACAGAATAGGAAATCCAATAGGCATAGAACCATGAAGAGACACTCAAAATACTGGTAATTACATAAGTGAAAATTAAAACTACAAGATATTTCTTTAAGTCTGTAAGACTGGAAAAAACTGGAAGGCTAGAAAATGCCACATGTCAGTAGGGTGTTGGGGATAAAAGAACCCTCACCTGTTACAACTGTCAGGGGGTGACAGGGTATAGACATATTGAGATCACTCCAGAGATCAATCTGGTACTATATAATTAAAAGTAACAAAGTACACTCCATGATCCAGATATTCTATTCCTGAAAACGAACCCAAAGAAGTTTTCATATAGGTCCTAAAGAGGACACATATAATACAGAGCATTTTCATCACAGGGAGAATAGATAATTCAAGATGCACTGCGGAATTAAGCAGGTATTAGAAGGAATGGGTGGATTTAATTCAGATGACCATTATATCTACTGCTGTGGGTAAGAATCCTTTGGAAGAAATGGAGTAGCCCTCATAGTCAACGAAAGAGTCTGAAATGCAGTACTTGGGTGCAATCTTTTCATCACAGGGAGAATAGATAATTCAAGATGTAGTGCAGCATTAAGCAGGTATTAGAAGCAATGGGTGGATTTAATTCAGATGACCATTATATCTACTGCTGTCGGCAAGAATCCTTTGGAAGAAATGGAATAGCCCTCATAGTCAACAAAAGAGTCTGAAATGCAGTACTTGGGTGCAATCTCAGAAATGACAGAATAATCTTGGTTCATATCCAAGGCAAACCATTCAACATCACAGTAATACAAGTCTATGCCCCAACCACTAATGCTGAAGACGTAAAGTTGACCAGCTCTATGAAGACCTACAACACTTTTTAGAACATCAAAGAATATATCATTTTCATCATAGGTTATTGGAATGCAAAAGTAGGAGGTCGAGAGATACTTGCAAAACAGGCAAGTTTGGCCTTGGCATACAAAATGAAGCAGGGCAAAGGATAAGATAGTTTTGCTAAGAGAACACACTGGTTATAGCAAACACTCTGTTCCAATAACACAGAGATGACTCTACACATGGATGTAACCAGAAAGTCAATACCAAAATCACATTATGTTCTTTGCAGCCAAAGATGCAGAACTTCTTCTATACAGTCAGCAAAACAAGACCTGGAGCTGACTGTGGCTCAGATCATGAGTTCCTTATTGCATAATTCAGGCTTAAATTGAAGAAAGTAGGGAAAACTAGGCCATTCAGGTATGACCTAAATCAAATTCCTTATGACTACACAGTAGAGGTGACAAATAGAATCAAGGAATTAGATCTGGTAGACAGAGTGTCTGAGGAACTATGGACGAAGGTTGGTA